ATGAAATTTTACTGATCCGATTTATGTTATTCGCACTTCCTTTATGAATTCTTTTCCTTTAATATTTAAATTTTTAACTATAAGCCAATGGTAAAACGTACAAGAGAAAGGTCCAGGCTTATATGGCTGGGCTTTATCGTTAGTGGCTCTAACATTATTAAAATTACTAGCTGGAAACTGTGGCCGGACGAAGAGCGGAGGTCCAAGAGGGTTCTGAGATAGACTTTAGGACACTCTGAGTTATTATGAAGATCTGCCCATTTAGAAGAAATGTGAGTAAAGGCGTACTTGTCGCCGTTGCTACTGAGGAAACACAGGGTATACATCGAAACATGTTGCAATTTAGGGAAATCAGCAATAAATGTCTACAAAAAGAATAAAAACTGTTTAGTGAGAAAGTGCTCTATGTTGCGATGGCGTGTTTGAAAGGCATGCTCGATTATGAGGAGGAAGGGAAGACATTAGGGATGATCCAAGAAGTGAAACTTACCATTCTAGTTCTAAGAAAACTGTGCAGAAACTGAACTGGGGTTTGCTTATAATGTTCCTGATCTTGAATCAAACTCCAGATCATTTCAGAGAATTTTACCGTTGCCTAGAAGAAATGTGTTATTCTATCATTGACTGAGGCTTTGGGTTCTTATACGCGATATTTCGGCTTTGTTCAGCTCCACACGACTTTCGACGTAGAACAAGAATATCCTACTCCTCTTTTCCTATACCAATTTCTCGCAGAACTTTCGATTCGATGATGCTTTAAATGTCTCTTACACGCAGAGTTATTACACACTTGCAGTAATAAATGCAAATGAATTATAAACCAGGCCCAATGATATGACAACCGGTATCACAGAACACGATAGCCCGTTGCCACAACTTTGGCGGCAGGTTTTAATCCCGGAGAAAGCATGAATAGTTTTCAAGTATACAGAATCTTTGGTATGGGTACATTTAAAATACTTTCGAGCCAAACTTTCCCTCAAAAGCGTGGTGGCAGTGGAAGAAGAATGGAGCTGAGCAAATTCGTAGTATCATCTTAAGGTAATCAAAGGCAAAGACAACGACAAACGCAACCGCTTGATGATAAAAAATTCGTGGACCTGATACGGCTGAAATTTAGATCAGAGGGATTAAATGCAACAATGATTATCAATCCAACGAGCAGAGAACCCTATTTTATTATGACTTCTAGCTGAAACAACTGTTAATTTAATTGTGACTTCTGTCTGCAAATGCAAATCCCTTGACAGAAAAAACACATCGTATGAATCCACACCTATGAGTACATGGCATTTGGATGAGCAAGAACTGAACGCTGAACCTCTACATTGGCTGTGATAAACTTTCCAGCCAACTTTAGTTTACCAGGTTAAACCATGCAATCTTTTTCATGGGAGGAGATTCCCACCCTCCCGACTTCTCTTTTTTCTCCAAGTTGAAACTGGTACCACAAGCTGATGTTTCATGAACACTGAGCGAATCAAGAAAATGGTTATCACCAAACTTTACAGTGATTCAAGCTTAAAAATAGCTTCAAAATCAATAATAAATAATAGCTTAAAAAGGTTCAAAATCAGATTTGAACAACATATAGAGCGATCGAATTAGTGAATAGAGAAGAAGGATTACTTTGAAAAATGTTTACCAAAATTTTTTGTAGTATTTTAGATTCTTTCGTACCACTTCTAGTTCTGGAACTTTATTTGCTAAATTTTGTATTTGTTATCTACACAATTTTACAAGAGTACCCTTTACGAGAAATGGTGTTCATTAAGTTATCAAAACAACTTGGCAAGAGACCATTAGGTTTTTCAGAGAAAGAAACATGAAAAATTAACTGTGCCTTCACCGGAATTTGAGCCACAGGTTTTCTAACTTTGTTAGCTGGACGTGCTGACCACTTACACAACGAGAGCACGCACGAAAGTATGTAATAACCCCTTACACTTTCTCGGATTTAAAGGACTGTTGGGAAGCGGCACGACACCTAATCTACTAAATCCAGGAGGTCATGAGTTATCGTTCACCGTATGTTAACTTGGCGGCACTGCAGAAATCTATCAGACAAGAGCAAATATTCTGTAGAACTCTATGCCAGATTCATGCCATAGGGCTTCTAACTTTACTAGCTGGATGCGTTAATCTTACTAGCTGGATGCAAATATTCTGTAGAACTCTATGCCAGATTCATGCCATAGGGCTTCTAACTTTACTAGCTGGATGCGTTAACCACTTGCGCAACGCGGAGTGCGATAATTGCTTTCAGTATAAGATAACTAATTCATTTTCTGCCAGTTTCCAAGATGTTGTAGCCCAACTTGATAAAAGATCTTTAGTATATTTCATATTACACATGCTTAACATTTAAAAGTAATAACCGCAATCCCTATTAGTTTATATTTCATTTTTAATAACATATCCAAACAATGCCCGTACATACATATATTTCTCCGTTTCGTTTTCCATTGTCCCAGCTGAGAAAGAAGCTCAGTTAGAAAAATGCTCATGAAAAATGAACGCAAATCGTATTGAAATTAAAGAAGTGCATGCTGAAAATTTCAAACTGTGAAACCAGTTTTTTCTCCAAGAGTAGAATACAAGTAGATTTTCCTTAGAAATTCCTCTAAAAGAAATTTCTTTCTTTAGTGCATTTTATCATAATCTAAAATATCCAAAGAGATTCGGTGTTGTATTGATGGAGTGCAGTATATCAGAAAGACATAACAAAATAAAATCTCAAACAAAGCGGCTGGAAAACAAGCCAAATTTTCGAATGCGGCTTAAACGCCAAACTAGCAACCCCGTCCTCTGTTTGTCTTCCGAAGAGAACGAATCGGTCAGTTTACGGGTGTGTGGCCAAGCGTGTAGAGAAAATGCACACTCGATTGCCAATAAAAAGAAATGTTTGCCTTTTTAGAATTGTCTTATTTACACGTAATGTGGAAAGGCAAAGGCATTTGAAATTTTTTGAGACTGTCGTTCCACAACATCTATAAAAGTGTTAGATTCTTATTTGCAGAATCTAGTATGGATAATTCATTTTTTGCAAGGTTTTAATTACAACGACGGATTATCCCTAGCAGAGTATTCAGTAATGATGTGTTAAAATGTAGGTGATGCGTCTTATTTAGGCAGCAAGAGTCGGCGCAGGAATACTTTTTCTAGTGCTGTACATTTGAAAAATCAAAGCTTAGTTCTTTATGTCTGTTGCAGTTAGCATTCATTTTTATGCCCCCCCCCCCACAAAAAAAAATGTGAAATGTTTTTAGCCTGAACAGAGTGAAGATTTTTATCTAATTTTTCTAATTTCATTACCTCTGTCCAGCATTTAGTTAAAGTTTTGACTGAACTTGTAACTTCAGTTTTAAATAATGTAGTACACAAAATTTCTTACAATAATTCTGTATTTCAATTCGTAATTTTCTATTCCAATTTTAATTCAATTTAATTTTTCACTTAAATTAAATTTATTCGATTTTTTTTATTAGTAGTTTGCAGCATCTATTTTCACAAACAGTAGCAGTACATTTTTTTTTTTTTTTTTTTTTTACACTTTTTAACAATAACTCAAAGTTAGCAACATTTTTGCACACAAAACAGCATTTTACATTTAAAATTTTTAAAATTTACAACATAGGTTTTTACAATAGCTCTCACAGGAAGCAGCTTTACACTTATTAGAGACATCTATTTTTACAGCTAAAAGCAGTAACAAACTACTCGACTCTACTAGTTTAGCAAAAGCTAGTACAACTCAGAAATTCAAATGCAGACCTAGGTAGGTTAAATTAAAACTTGCTATTTACTAGCCTTTTTATTATTTTTTTTTATATTTTGATTGTTGTATGTAGTTTATTTTAGGTTTACATGCATAATTCGTGTTGAGGAAGTTTCCTGTACGCAAGAGTTTCTAAATTACTTTGGTTTTCTAAAAAATGGTTTTCTAATCTTAATTGACTTTTAGTTAATTTAATTAATTTTAACTCTAGTCATTTACTTGCTTTTTTCTCAAAATTCCACTGTTTAAATTTCTTCTTTTATAATTCACAACATTTGATTTTATTTTCGGTTTTGAATTTTACTTTTACACTTTTTGCCTATATGGATGACGAAGCACGAATTGAGTAATTGAAGAGTTAGGCTTTGGAGGCAACTTCCCCTTGATATGTCTGTCTCCTACCTGCTGAACAATTATTTACTTGTGCAATTTTTAGGAATAATATATTTTTTCATGGTTTTAGATAAATGCAATTAATTTACATACGCTCTTAGAATTTAAATAGTATTGTAAATTAGTTTGCAGCAATAATAATTTTTTTATTTTTATTTCTTTGAAATTAGAATTTCTTAATTAAATTTTAATTTATATTTGCTTTATACGAATAGAAAATATTTGTTAAATTCAAATTTCATTCCTTGCAGCAATGGCGCAAGAGAATTATTTAAATTTAATTTAACTATTTTCTTGTAAAATTCTTTTCGAGTGTATTTTGCCACATTGCGGGAAAGACAAAGATCTGTCCAGTAGTGCTGTCAAGTATTAAAATGCGTATCTGTAGAGCAACGCGCTCTTGTTCCTTTATTGAAGTTTTAGAGTATGACAGTTAAGGGGAGTAACTTACTTTTCTGCCGCCCAGACGGTATAGTTGTTAGGAAAGCCTACTGCGGTACAGAAGACCCGGTTCGGATTCCGGAGAAGACATGCATGTTTGTAAATATACTGTGTCTTTACGGCTTGGGGGGAACTCTAAATGTGCGGCGAGCTGAAAGTCCTCTCGAGATCGTAGTGGGAGGAAAAGAGGGTTGGCAAACCTTTAGACTCGTTCCCTCGGGCTGCTCTCCATCAAAATTGGGGGCGGAACTGAGCAAAGCAGTACTGTTACCTGTATAGTCAGAGCTCTTGGCAACGACAGCGCAATTTTGCACTTCCCGTCATGATTAATTCCGTGGGCTTGTTCTGATGTTACTATCAGACAAATGAGATAAGTCATAACACTTACCCTTCCAGTACTTGCTTTCCACCCCGCAACTTCCTCTGCACTTCTTCATAATCGCAAGCGACGTCTATTCTCCGGTCAGTGCTCCTGAGTACAAAAGGGTGGTGTTGAACGACGACGCTGTTGACGAAAGTTCCGTTACCCTGCAATGAATAGTTTTATCAGATTTCATAAAACATTATTTTGAACCAATTACACACATAACGCCTTTAATTTTTATTTTTGTTTGATTGTGTCAAATCACGGAACGGCTATTTGCTTAAAGGAAGCGATGCCTTCGTGAAGGACTTTCTAAGGAAAACTGGCTTGTATCTATGTTGCACATGGGAAAAACCCCGAAAATGCCCATGCAAGTTCGTCGGGATTTAAACTCGGGTAGAACTAACAAAGTTCAGTAATTTTACCGCTCGGCCTTATTACTTTTTATTTAGTTTTAAACTTCTGCGTTTTCCTATTTGTTGTTTTCAGGTACTCGTTTACTTAATGTATTTCTTACGATGATTATAGGTGGTTGTTTATTAATTTTGAATTTGTTGTTACTTAGTGTGTTTCTACAGATTTATTTCGAGTATGATTCTAGCTTTCTGTTTAGAGTCGATTGACAATAAAATTGTAAGGGCATATGAAGTAGAATTACAGATATGAGCAAAAATGTTTCTACCGGGTATTGATGAAAAGAAGATGAAATTCGGGGATTTCTCGCGCTAACTTAGCGACATCCTGTACGTTCCTCAAAACAAATTTTTCAAATATAACGATGATTTCTCTGAGCTTCGTAATTATAATTACACTGAATCGAGACTCAGAGTTTTGTATCTATATTTTGATGCAAAAATTTGGATACATATTTGATATATTTTCATATGAGATTCATAACTTACTCAAATTGTTTAGTTAGTTTTGTTAGTTATAATTACAATGTTAAATTGTGATTTGGAGTTATAACACTGAAATATAATACGGAAAACTATATTTATATTAATTTGAAAAATTATTTTCTATCTTGTGAGCAGCTGCAACACAACACATTTTTTTTTTTTTTTTTTTTTTTTTGGCATTTTATAATTTAGTAACAAATTGAATAATATTCCATAGCAAATACTGAAGCGCTGTTTGAATATGAACTCTCATCTCGGTGGACTTTTTGACATACAATTACTTAGCTCTGTACAGATGGCCATCAAGGTCTTCTGATCTTACATCCAGTGATTTTTTTCTTTGCAGGAATGTTAAGGGCAATGCTTATATGCATCCATTGTCAACAAGATCAAAGAAGATCTAACTTATAACAGCATTACAGCTTTGGTTACGAATTAGCGGAAAATTAAGCGCTTGCGGGCATTCATAGTACATGCATCAAGTAACAAGAGGAGAACATATATTTAAAGTATTACGATTAAAATTTGGATGATTTTTACTTCACATCATGGAATTATCATGCTTTTAAAATTTGTAACGTCTCATCAAATACAGGGTTCTAAGCCTGATGACTTCTTTGTAAAAACCTTGTCGTGTGTACAAGCAGAAAAGTTACAGAAAAATTCTGTAATGATTATCTTGAAAATGACTTTTATTCATAAAGACATATTATAAATTCTTTTTTCCAAAATATTAATAAAACGCTATCATTATGCTTATTCTTTGCTATCCTGTTTTATTTTATTTAAACACAATCAATGGGCAAAGCATTATTATGATATAAAAGAAAAATTACAGAAATGAGAGATTTTTATGTGCTTTTTGTTAACAGCAGGTTTATCTCCGTCCTACATACAGCTAGCTCTATTCCCAAAATTAAAACAAGCAAAGTCAAAAAGAAAACTTTAAGCAGTTTTAAGAAATTTTGCTTTTTAAAATAGTTAAATAGCATAAGATAGGAAAACTGGCATAATTGCATTACAGGCATATATCATTTATTAAACCTAGATAATTTTTCAATATAATATCACGAAAATAAATGTTCTGAATGAGATAATATACGAATTTAACAGTGACATTGTTGATAGAAGATCCGAAAATTGCATAGATTCACTACTACTACACAGTTAATTATTTAGCGATTTCATGCAACAGGAAGATAATAACTATGTAAGCAAATTTTATGAATATTTTCTGAGGTAAAGTATAGGAAAATTCCACTGAACATAAATCAAATTTGATTTAACTAGCAAACATTACGAAAACATGTTTAAAGTGATGCGATTGCTGCTTAATGTTACTCATAAATTATAGAAAATTTTTTTTTAAATATCAGCATTTGGGGGGAAAAATGCAATTTTTATAAAACGGAAATTTTTGTCGTAAGTTTGCAGCGATAAATTTATCTTAAATACGACAGTATTGTTATATATTGTATATTTAAAAAGTTATGGTCATTTCACTGAAGAAACACACTGCATTGACAGATTGGAATTTTTCAATAAAGTTCTAAAAAACTGCTCACTTTGAAAGACAGTTTCAGTGATAATGCTTTCGTAAGTAGGTTTACATCAGATTTTATTTTGTCGTAATATTTACTTTCTTGCAATAATTTGAATAAAAATATGTAAACTAGTTTAAGAAAGAACATAATTTACTTATCACATTCCTACCACATACTTTGTTACGGTATATTTTCGTTTACAATTTATTTGCATCTATTTCTTACACCAATAGTTTTATTTGTTACATTACTACTGTTACACTGTTGAGAATCAAACTAATGAACAGATGTTCTCTTTGGTTGAGGAGGCTTCAGCAGAACGTGATGGCCAAGGAAATAATCGAATACCTTTTGCCTCAAGGAAGATCAAAATAGTACGAGCTACGTGAACAAGAGGTGATCAGAATGTGTATCCAATGGTGTCGCATACCAGCAAGGTGCTGGATTCGTAAACCTCGTCCAGTGTCTTCTTTTGTTGTGCATACCACTGCACGTGTGCCTGTCTCTTCTGCAACGTCAAGGGAAACCTTTATAATGCTACCGCGATGACCGTCCGTGCTTCTGCATACGTGTTCACAGTGGTGCAGACAACAGTTGTTCGCACGGACATACAGGAACAACGGCGGTAATCACGAGCCAAATTCCTGACACGGGATATGACGTGACGATACGATCCTTCCAGGCGGAGAGGACAACTTGTCTGTTCTCTCGGACGTTCTGGGCCGCTGAGATCTTGTATGGCGCTCAGTATGGCCCTCATGGACCCATCGATTCCATTTTACCCGAAAAACATGGGCAACAACACGATCAGCAACGTCTCGAAATTGTAAACCTACGTCACGATACTGCCGTAGACGAATTCTGAAACGTGCTGGGAGGAGTTTCCCTTTCTTACACGAGACATAGATAATATGACAAACGAACAGTATTAAAATGCGTTTTGCAAAGAACAGAGTATCTGTGCAAAATGTCCGTTCATACACAACATACATGTTGTGCGGATCGCTGGAATGATAAACATTTGGCTATCCCAGCATGCAGCATCTCTTTCATGCTAACACGACGTTTGTTTCATGCTTTTTTCACGGTGTAGCAAAATTAATGGCCATTTGTGTACGTATAAAATTGTATTCATTTGATTGCATTTGGGATCTTGCGCTTTTTTATGTAAGATATTTGTATTGATACTTACTTCAATGAGAACAGAATGTTTTGAAAAATGTTATATTGTTTAGGTAATGCATTACGCCTTATATAAAAAGAACACAGGGGAAAATTGCTGCAGTATCGATAAATATACCCTATGAAAGACAGAGAAGTTAGTGACTCTGAAAAAGTTTGATTTACTAAGATCGTGAACGTTACACTGCGAATTAGACGCACCGGATAACATGTTCCCTTGTTAATTTGAAAATCATTTTTAGGTAAGGTAGTTATTCCAGTGTATTGTCTTACGAATTAAGGAATAGGGCTTTATAATCTGTCGTCCCGAAAGCACGTATGAGAGGTTAGGGGTAGCCGAGATGCTTCCCGGAACGCTGCCAGCCCAAGCTATGATGCGTGTTCGTAAAATAACTGATTTTAGCAATACCCATATAAATCATTATCTTCTGCGGCCTGTACTGGTAATAGCTCTGCAAAATATTCTGAAGTGTCGCATGAGTTAAAAAACTGGGCCTGCCTTGTAGTGGGGAGTTCTAATGCCAGAAAAATGGAACTTGTAAGTACTTGGAAAAGCATTTCCTAAGCGTTGCAGAAAACGTTAGCCAAACAACCGCTCAATTCCATCGCTGCTTTTTCCCAAAACAGTAATAACTCTCTCACAGCATTTTGAAACTAAAAACAAACGCCTAGAGGAAAATGAAATTTTATGTCGCCGACCACCGTTACAGTTTTCCTTTACGGTGTTTTCGTAATTTTTTTTTTTTTTTTTTTACGCGATTCGAATGCGAAGCATTTCCTTTTAAATGCGCTCCCCGTTTTGACGTCAAAACGTTCCCTGAAGGAAATAGCGCGAGTCTCGTTTAAGAGCTTCGAGAAGTGAATTTTTTATTATCGTGGAAAGTTTTGATGTCTTTAGGTTATTAGAGAATATTCACTTTATTTTAAGGTAGAAAATTTTGGGAAGAAAAATATCCTCTGATGTGGAAATGGAAAGCAATTACTTCAGATCCCTTCTTCCCTAAAACGTTTGGAAAGGCAACACTTATAATATTTCCAAAATTTCTGGACCGTTAGTTGGCATGTATTGTTCATGTGACGTAGCAATGGTTGCTTTTGCATGAAACATACGAAATCTATCTGGGATGCGACATGGCAAATGATAATTTTTCGAAGTGGCGCTATTCGTTGAGTGGTTTGGCTTAGTTATGGCAAAGCATTCGAGGGCTACCTGCCTTCGTAAAGGACTTTCTAAGGGAACTGACATTACGTATGGAAAAATCACGAAGACGATCATGTAGCCAGTCCGTTCGCCGGGATTCGAATCCTGGATCGAACGAACAGTGCTCAGTAACTTTACCACTCGGCCCCTGGTGGATCCGTCATTCATTGAGAGCTGATATTTTAAATTTTTTTTCCAAACCATAACTACTTAACAAACTGAGCGATTTTATAAACTATAAATGCATTTCTTAGTAACTTAAATCTTTTATTTTTTACATATTGTGCCTATTATTATATACGAACTAAGATATATTTAATTTATATCGGACGATTAAA